CAGATGAGTTTTTATGCACTGTTCACATCTGTGCATCTTCTTTGGTGCCCTGTGAGTCACTCAGTTATGGATAAGAAAACAAAAAATAAAAGGGACAAGAGATCCTCCTCTTTCATGGAGGATTCAAAGTACGTATCCGTGCATTACAAACTTTTTGGTTACTTACACAACGTAGGCCTTTAACAAAAGGATGAGAAGATTCATTGCAAAAAGGTCAAGAGACTATAGCAGGACTACTAGCTTCAACTGCATTCTCCAAGCAGGTGGATTCAGACTTTGAAAAAGATCGTCCAGCTTGGTAAACCCAGGTTAAAATGGATCAAAAATTCAATTCAACTGAGAATTCAAGTTACGAACAATTGAAAATTGATCCTTGCTTTTCATAAGAAAGGCTGGCCCATCTCAGTTATGGAACATAAGCAAAGCTGCTTATGGAAAGCTATGTGTTGAAGTAGACGCTTCTTTCCAGCACATATTTCTCAAACATCCTTAAGAACTGGGAACGAAATCTTAGTCTACTGGCTGTTCTAAGGTGCTCCATCTTCCCTGTCTACTATCTGGACCCTCTTGCACCTCCCATCCTGTGTGTTGCACAAAAACCTCTGGCGCATACATAGGATTTCAGTGAGCAGCCATCCCCAAGAAAATAATCCTTATGAGGAAATCTAGTCTCAAAAAAATGTCATGTGCCTGCATGATAAGTGGGTAGTTGAATGGTGATATTGAGGATCAGTCTAATAGCTTCATGTTGGCTTTCATTAGACATTGATGTTTGTTCACCCATGGATTTAGTTCTTGTATTTTAATTTCCAAATATAAACCCATAAGCATAACTGTATATAGGAGAATTCCCACTGAATTCAAGAAGGTACACATGCTTATACAACTATTTGTGTGACTGTTGGATTTGGAACTAGAATTACCAAATTCAGCTGCTACTAGGGTTTCAGGATCATATAAAGCACGGTCTTTTCATGATAATTTCATTCATCATGTACTTTTTCCTGCAAGAAGTGCCATTCAAAAATCTTAATACAAAGCACTTTTCAACCCCTCATAGCTTTGGTTGATGCTAATTTTGTCTGCTTCCCTCTTTGATTGGCTAGAAGATGGCACTTAAGCTTACTGGACTCCTGATCGATCCACAGATCGATCTTGCAGGTTAACTTCAGGAAGAGATTAAATGATCACTATTTCATCTTGATTAAGAACTAAGGACAACATCTTTCTTTCAGAATAACTTTCCAACAGTAAGTTCCTCCCTCACAACCTTGTAACACACTCTCCCATGCACCTACACAAGCATGAATAAACAAGAAAACAAAACATTATCAAACTGTTTCACTCACAGACTAAAGAAAGCTTATTTTCAGATTTGAATTCCTTGGAAGCATAGATGTTGTTGACTATAAAATGCACGGGCATAAGAAATTTTGAAGATAACAGCTTTTTTTTTTTTTTTTTTTAGTATTAGTATAGCATTAAAGATCCCTGTGGTGTTTTAACAATCTGCATCTCATGCAGTTGGAAGCCCTCTGCTCTACTTAGTATTATCATATACAGTCCTTCCTAAACTGCATTTTAAAATTACTTTTTGGGGTATACAATATTTCAAGTTCAACTAAGATGTTGTTATTAAACATCTGGAGATTGAAAATACAACACCGGACAATGAAAGAACACCATCCCATAAAACACAACATACAAACCATTTTTCACAGTTCTACCAAAACAAAATCGTACATAAAAATGTCACAAATAGCTCAGTACATTGGTATGATCAAAATAATATTAAGTCCAGCTGATATTGTCACATATGAAAGGGCCAAATCCTGGCTCAATACGCAGTTGAAGCCTAAACAGATGATCAGAGAAAATAATATAAAGCCACCCTGAAGTGCTATACCGGTAATAACACTGTTTGTTAATCTACCTAAGATTTTTGGCCTGAAGTATGTACCTAACTTGTGCTACAGATGGAACACATGGCCAGCAGTACCTGGCTCCTGTCCTAGGACACATCTTTATGAGTTTGTTGTGGCCAAGGGCAGTGGAGGCTAAGAAGCAGTCTTCCTTCTGGATATGACAGTTTTGGCAGGCATCTATATCTACTGTTCTGCCAGAATTTGGCCAAGAGTTCGAAATCCTGTACATCTTATTCAGTAGCCCCACCGAAGTCAATGGAACTTCTTTGTGAGTAAGATGAAAAGGATTTGGCCCCCAAAGCTTTTAACCCTTTAAGTAGTAAGAGAGTAGTTTCATTGCACTTAGCCCGTGATTCACAAATAACTTTCTACTTGAAAACAGAAGATGGTTGTTGATGTATAGGAAGTGTTGGCTCACAGAGAGGAAAGTGTGCAGCAACATCTGACTACTCATAGCAGTTTGGAACTGAATTCCTAAAGGGAAAAAGAGGCATATGACAATTTCATCTAATGTCCATCTGAGGCCAAAATAATTGTTTCTTCAATTCCTAAATACCATTTTATAGGTACCTTAGAAACACTATGTAACTGGAGTATGTATACAGTTATAATTTGATATGTGTATGTGTGTCTCCATTGGACTGGATGGATAAGCAACTTCATCTAATAGCATTAAAATTTAAAAAAAAAAAAAAAATTGGAACAGATGGATTTTTCAAAGAACTTCCTAAATACTTTCACATGGAACACATGGTCATGACTTTGGGAAAAGAGAAATTTTGCTCTCATCCACAAGAAGCTTTCGGTGACTGGAACGGGCAAAACCAGAATTTTCATATTTAAAACAAAGTAACCTTACTCTGTTACACAATTTCATGTTTTGTTCTGCGATTGTGGATTTGAATTACTATTCATTTGAATTAAAATGGGATAAAGTATAACTGTATGCTAATTAAATTAATCAAAACTATATGACAGTGCTACTCTGACAAAACGTCATTGCAATGCAGTATATTCTAATAACATGCAGCACTCAAAAATAGAGTTTGGGATTTTAAACTGTGTAGTCAGGATGCAGACATGAACTCTAATTAGAACTGGAAAACAGGACCGAATACCATGGAGTTTAATCCCAACCAATAGAGTGAATTACTTCATCTCTAATACTGTGTCATGCTCATGCTGATGCTCAGTATGTAGCTGCAACAAAGCTACACAGAGCAGAGCATGAGTCCTGAAAATGCTTGCCTCAACAACATCTGCACTCACAGACAATTTTATAGTGTTCCCCTTTTGCAAATGAGATAAAAATTTGGCTGCCTTGTAAACATTGCTAAGTGAATGCCTTCTCATTGGCACTGGAGCCTGGAGGTGTCAATGATAATCTGAGGAAACTGCATGTGAAGCCCTTATGAACTGGTTAAGGTGAGCGAACTTCTGCCCTTTTGGTTACATAAAATCATTTTAGTTCTTGTATTGCTTCTTTCCTTCCCAAACAGAAGGATATGTAGCCATTCTGTGCTGACAGAAGTCCTTTCGTGTCAAATTCTCGGGGCACATTATAGGCTGCATAACCCTTTGGCTAAGAGAATAGGATTAGGTTTCATGCTTAACTCCCCCACTGCATGCTGAAATTGGGAAGAAAAGTTCTTGGAAGGTAATGCAAGTTGAGCGAAGACTTTACTGTACTCAGTGGGAAAACTTCACAGACTTCAACAAGCACAGCATTAGTCTAGCCTTCAGACAAACATGAATAAAAGCTCCATAAATAGGGCTGTAGTGGAGGCTAAAAAGGAGATACACAGTGGTACGGGCAGAAGAGGGTTGCTTTGGGTGATGTTGTGCCTACACCTGGTAAAGAAAGGTGTTAAGATATCTCTTTGTTCCTATTAAGGAAAGTCTCTGATTTTCCCTTGATTCACTGTTTTCCACATGTATATCCTGTTCTTAAAGGCAGACCCTGCAGTCTTCATTCCTCACTCTACTGGTTATTTGCCAGAATAATATTGAGTAAGAGAGACGCTCTGTGCATCTTCTCCACACTCAGACACCATTGGTGCCTCCTGGCATGAACTCAGCTTCCAGGCTTTGCCCCTGCTGTGGCAGCTCCTAGCTATTTGCTTTGGTGAAGACCTTCTCAGATGAGAAGATAAACCACAGGTACATTCCTACACAGATGGGAAGAGCAGGAACAGGAGGAGACATACTGACTGTCCCCCATGCCTTCCACCTGGAATGACAGGAATCTCCCTGGCATGGGGAGGAGCGTGTGGCGGTGTCTACTCCTTGGTGTACACAAGGATGTCAGGAGAGCAATCTAGCGCCCAAGGTAGCTCTTGGGGCTGGCCCATAGTGCTTACAGGAGCTAAGGTATTTTGTGGATTCGGGTCTTGAAAGCCATGTCACAGCATTAGATATGGGAATTAGAGGGTTTCATGGCAGAAGATAGGGATCTCTTTCAACTTCCGAAGGAGAAAATGTTTTGAGAAATTCTCTGTGAACACAACTGCCCCAAAAGGAAAGTATGCACATGCTATATGCCTTTTTTCCCCCTCTCTTCTGTTTGTCAAAGTAGAAAAAGCTTAGAAAAGGTCAAAACTGATCAATTTTATGATGAAATGGCACATTTCTGATGATTGTTGAGATTTATTCCTAACAATATTCGACTTTCATTTTGCGTTCTGAAAGCACTTAAAGCTCAGTATTAAAAAAAGCCTCACAACAATCTTCTGAAGCAAGTTTATCTCTATCTTACAGGTAAGGAAACCAAGGCACAAAGAAATTAAATAATTTGCCACAGATAGTACAGTAAGTCAGTGGCAAAGTCAGAAAGAGAATGAAATTCTGCAGTTATGGGTTAACTCTCTCTTCCTGCTATGAAAATTAATCTTATCCCTAATATGTTGTTTCACACCACCTGTATTAAAGATAGTGAAACCCAGTCAATTTGCACTGTTAAAACTGTTGCAAAGCCAATGATTTTTTATCCATATAAGCACAAAAAATGCTACTTAAAGGGTTAATTATACTGCTGTGCTGGTAAACATTTTTACTTATTGCTGGGTAGACCCGTATTTAAATACTGACTGGGACAGAAGAGACTGAGCTGGCCCTGGACTCCCTTGTCTTGGTGTTGGGCATGGATATCGTACAACAGGATACGCCCACAGTGGCCTCAGGCAGCTCATCTTCCTCTGTCCATTCATTGAGATCTGGGTTATAGCACTGAATGCACTTCTTATATTTTTTCTCTATTTCATTCCACCCACCCACTAAGTAAATTTTCCCATTAAGGGTGGAGGCGCCAGCCGTGCTAACTCCAGTTTGAAGCGGCGCCACGTAACTTAGGGACTGTAGCACTCTACAGGGAGAACATCGACCCTTTCGGCTCGCCCCCCCAGCTGAGACCCACCCATGACATAGACCCTCTCCAGAAGGGACACTGCGCAGTGCCACCCCCTTGGGGTGCTGAGGCTGGACTTATCCTGCCAGCTATCTTTGCTGGGGTCATACATGCACACAGAGCGAGAGTAAGCATTATTAATGTAACCTCCTGTGACCAGGATCCGACCGTCCACCACCGCGCTGGCATGGCAGCACCTGGGCACCTCCAGGGGTGCCTTCATCTGCCACTGATTAGTTGCAGGCACATAGCATTCAACAGAGGAGAGGCACCCCTCAGAGTTGCGACCACCCACTGCAAAAAGGAGGCCATTGAACACATTCAGGCTAAAGTGGGTGCGCCGCTGATTCATGTTTGCCAGGTGAATCCAGGTGTTGAAACGAGGATCATACCTGAAAGCATTAAAAAAGAGGGTAACTGTCTCACGTACTGCTCTGCTAAATTCTACAGTCCTGTCTCTGTCCCACTACTGCTGCAGGCACAAAGTTGTTAAAATTTTAGTTAGTTATTTAGCCCATTAGAAGTCAGTGGAATGAAACTGGTATTCCTGGTTAAATTTCCAAATAAATTTAGTTTTCAATGGGAGAAAAATCTGTTTGTATCATTCAAACCCGGTATTATTTCAATGAAGTAGATCTAACTCTTCTGTAATTTGATTTTGTACAATAACCTCATTGGAATATTGGGAAGAGATACTTTCAACATACAATAGAAATTTTAAAAGTGTTTTTGCAATTTATACCTAAAGGAGATGTCAACATTTACTCAAAGAGTTTTAAAAAATGCTAGGTGGTGATTTATACTTGCATCTTTTTAGCACTTTCTAAATGGTAAGTATTCTTTCTCTGCCACTCATATGGCGTAAGATTTATGTGGAAAGAACATCTTTGCTTTCTAACACCATTTCTACCTGAAATAACCTTCTCCATCCTTGACATTTAAATGAGCAACTTTGAAATAGGAAATAGCAAATTATGACTCCTTGAGGAGTTGTGTGAGGTACATTAGTAGGCTCATACATTTCTCCTGTTGCATGCTAAGGGGACCAGAGAATCACATGAGAAAAAGACTATGGGAAAGTAAAAACTAATTGTTAGCTGTCATTCAGCATGGTCATCTGCAGCTCTGAAAGCAACTCCACAGATACACTGATGTGACTTGACATGCTTGAGGTTACTGGCAGAACAGGGAGCAGAACCCATTCAGCCATGGACCACAAGGATCCCCCCACCTCCTCCCCACAACCAAGGTGTGCACAGAGCACACAGCTCCTTGTGAGAACGAGGCATAGTTTAAAGGTAGAAGGTTGAAAGACCAACAGCATAATCTCCTTTACATGAGATATTTTCCTGACAAAGTAGATTACACAATAAAATTGATCTAGAGAAGGTTCCTCATTCATTAAATTTGTATGTTCGTTGATGTCCTCAGGAGAAGCTGTCTGAATGTTCCTTCTGGGAGCAGAAAAGGAAGCATTGGTAGGACTCCTCCCCTATGAACACAGGCTGGGAGAGTTGGGGTTGTTCAGCCTGGAGAAGACTCCAGGGAGACCTTATAGCAGCCTTCCAGTACGTGAGGGGGTCCTACAGGAAAGCTGGGGAGGGACTGTTTACAAGGACACATAGCGATAGGATGAGGGGCAATGGTTTTAAACTAGAAACAGGTAGACGTAGATTGGATATTAGGAAGAAGTTCTTTACCATAAGGGTGGTAAAGCACTGGAACAATTTGCCCATAGAGGTGGTGGAGGCCCCATCCCTGCAGACATTCAAGATCAGGCTTGATGGGACTCTGGGCAACCTGATCCAGCTAAAGATGTCCCTGATTACTGCAGGGGGGTTGGACTAGATGGCCTTTGGGGGTCCCTTCCAGCCCAAACTATTCTATGATTCTATGACTGTGGCTATGTATTGCCATTGCATGTCCATAGTCTGTTAGCAGATAAAAAGCTGAGTTGTCTTACCTCCAGCCTTTGCTTCAAGCTGTTGTGTGCTGTCAGCTTTTAGGCTGAACTACTTAAAAAACTAGTACCACCCTTTTGACTATTGCACATTAGCCTATTCACTTTTCTGACCTTGCTATCACCAGTGCAGTCCTTGGATGTCTATAGATAGGAACTGTAATATTTCAGAAGTGAAGTACTATTTGGAATACACTGTAGAAGAGAAATATGGCCTTCAAGAGACGGTGACATTGTTTCTAAACTCTTGATAAATAAAAAACCTAAAGGATATGAAATGCAGATAAAAGCTGTTGAAAATATGGTGGATGGTGCATAGAAAGTCAAGATTATAATACCTAAAAAGTGTTTATCAGAACTTCCTGTGAGGCATCAGAAGCTCTTGAAAATTAAAAAGTCTCACCTTGTCTGATTTGGTGCATTTTAATGGTATCTTAGAACATTCCAGAATTTCCTGTTTATGTTTGTATTTATTTTCTCCAATCGAAGAAAATTTTCCCAGTTTTCCTCACTTCTCATTGTGCATGTGTAACCATGGTGAAGTTTTTGCATAACTTCGGTTGCTTATTTCTGTTCATTCAAACTTTAATACAGAATAGCATCCATATCTCCCCACCCTGTCCCCTTCCCATTTATCTCAGTGGTTCATGCTGCACGTCACAAACCAGCTTGGTTTCTCTACCTGCATTGTATGGAACAGATCTCTCCATCCCTTTTAAATATATAACCAGTTACCTGCAGAAATTGCTGACTGCATGCTTGGCTTGATTCCTGGCATCATTCTGGTCTTCCCCACCGGCCACATAGAGAAATCCATCCATCACCGTGACACACTGATTAAAACTTTTAGCAGGCATTTCACTCAGCTTCTTCCATCCATTTTCAGGATCTCTGTATAAGATGTCTCTGCTAAGAGACTTCTCTGTTAGAGCAGGGCGTCCCCCAACAGTAACTAAGACTCTGAAACCTCCACGGATCCTTGTTCTTCTGGACTGAAGTGTATTCTGGTGGTAGGGAAGCAGATGATAGTTCATGGCATCCACAAGGAGCTTATGGCAGTCTGCATCTTGCATCATTCTTGGCACAGTTTGAACATAATTGACAAGGTCTTGGGCTGAGATGGTACCGAAACGGATGTTACCTAGGAGATCAGCAGCAAACTTTACTCTTTTTTGGTCAAATTCCAGCCATTTTATTGCAATCTGGAATGCAACAATTTCAGAAGGCAACTGCAAGTCATCATCTGCGAGAAGTTCATTAATCTGATCAAAAGTAAGTTTTAAGAACTGATCCGTTTCTGAAAATTCAATGAAGTTGTCTCTAATAAATTTGTGTGCTGCTTCCTTGGTTGTTTTTAGTCCGTATGTTTCTGCAATATTGGCAACGTACATACAATTCTCAACACTGATTTCTTGGATTAGAAAATCACAGCACATCTTTACAAGGGTGTGAATCTGTAGATAAATTGCTGTGGAAATAATACTACCTATTGTATAAAGTGAGAGAGTAAGTTTTCCTGTGTAAGCATAGGTGATAACAGTAGCTAGACCCAATGGAGATACATCATTGAGGTCTACTCTTTGAGTGGATGGATCTTTCTTTAAGATGTTGTGAAAATAGTCACTGCTTGAAGCCATCACCACCTTGTGAACACTGAAGGACTTGGTTTTGGTACTGATAGTCAAGTCACAAAGAAAATTTTCTTGCCGCATTCTGCTTAGACCTTCCAAGAGATTTGGGCTATATGATGGGTCGGAAACTTCAGATGAGATGCAGCTGAAACCATTTCCTCCATCGAAGAGTCCATTCAAGCCATTTAGTTTACTGAGGGGGCCGTCTTCCACAATTATAGTCATTTCATTGATATCTGCTTTGTTCTTTTTCACATTCTTCTTCTTAGGGGCCATGACTGCAATGAAATATTACAGCCAAGAGCTTGCTAAAAAGAAAATTAAAACGTTTAGAGCCACACAGCGGTTGTGAAATTTAATAGCTATGTGATTATGCAACAAATCTAACCTTTGTCAGTACAGATAAATGCCACAAAACCAAAACACATAGAATAATCTATCTTCCTAAGAATGATTATACTGTCCTAGATTTAGTGTGACTGCTTATTAATAACAATCAATACTCAAATTGTGTAGAATACACCTACAAGTAACTCCTTTTTTAAAAAAATAACAAGGTCATAAAATAACATTCACCTATTATCACCACATTCAAAGAGTTAAGTTCTCTAAATGAGTTTGCCAGAGTGCTAAATTTTGTAAATATATATGTAAATCATCTGGGTTCTAGACCTGAACTAATTAGTCCGAAGTACAGGAAAGATATGGGCCCCCAACTTCGTTCGTCCTTACTCCAGGGCTAGTACAGACTTACAGGTGAGTTCAGAATTTGACTAGGAAATATTAAGAGTGTGAAAAATTCTTAAAGAAAAAAAGCAAGATGAGACATAAAGAGAAAGTGAGTTTTAGTATGATGACCTATTGATTTTAGATTTAGGATCTGCTGCAAACTGCTTTCACATTTTCGAAACTTTTTTTTTGCAAATACTTTCTACTCAGAGCACGCTTTGCTTGCTTTTCAATATCAGCAACTTGAAATTTATAATCCTACTTTTAGGATTTTGCAGAGATTTAGGGAGAAGATGTCTAACTTTTATCTGAAACAATGTCATGCAAACTCTAGCAAGACATGTTATTTTAAACAAGTTCTTTATGTGTGAAGGTATGAATTACTCCCATACAGTTATGTTAGAACTTATTAGATAGATTCAAATTATATGTATCAACTCCAGGCAAGTTTCAGCTCTTGCTGAAATGATGAGCCAAATTTTTGTCAAATGCAACGTGAGATGGCCCTAAGTAGTTGTCAAAGGAATATGCATGTATTTCAAACAAATACATGCATATTCAAATACACCTTGAAGGAAAGTACTGATCTTCAATAATACAGTTGAAACAGAATTGCTGACATCAGTATTCAAATAGATTCAAATATAGCATTTATCTCCAGTACATCCATTGATTTTAAAACAATTTATATGTGCTAATTTTCTTTGTGATCCCTGCACTCATAAAATCCAGAACATGAAGAAATGCTACTTAATGATGAAACAAATGACTGGATTATTTTAGATAACTTAATAAAAAGACATCAGTAATATTTCAATCTAGAATCTCGGCATATCAATTTTTCCTTAAGCACACAGCATGTAACAAAATGGGAATTTAATTATAGAAAGGAATTATTGCTGCCTATGAGCACCAGGATTTTTTTTGCTACTGCTGCTGGGTGACAACCATGTGCAGAGCAGGCGAGGGAGAAGGCCATGTGTGCCAAAAGTGTCAGTGTCAGCCTGCGCTGACGTGAGCTGTGACCCCCAAAACGTCGGTGTGCCAGCACAGGGGTCAGCTGCTGCCTGGCTCCCCCCGCTCCGGCTGCATTCCAGGAGCTGCATCTGTTGAGACCTATCAGAGTCACCTCCCAGAATAGCAACCTCCCAGCAGCTTGCCATTTTAAGACAGGTTCAATTGAAGGTATAGCTGGTGCTTTCGTATACTTTGTTGTTTAACATAACTTTTTTTGCAAAAAAACCATGATATTGCAAGTGTTGTGTATATTTGCTGGCACAGAATAAAAGCAAACCAAAACTTTTGGATGTCTTTGTATGTTATCCGCATAGTTATAGCTTTGCATATTAATAGCCAAATTTTATAGCCAGCAAGGGTATATTATTTTGTCAGATGTATTTGTGGTTCTAAATATTTTGAGACCTGCAACTTCAGAATTTTAATGCATGCAGCACTTAATGTCTCACTGTGTCACTGCAGAGCTTAATTCAATGTGACATTTTAACCGCTCTGTTCAAAAATGTTCACTCTCCAAAGTTTTTTCCTGAAAAACACTTTTCCATCAGCAGAAATGTCACCAGCTAGTTTAGTGTATAAGCACGTAAGTGACAGGACAGGCAAAACCAAGAAACAAACCAAACAATCCTACAATAAATCCAAGTTACTGAACTTTGAAAACCCTGGATGATTTGGTTTTCTATAGTCGTTTGCTTTCAACTAATTTATTTCAGCTTAAGAACAACTCATGCCAAGGACACTGGGGGTCCAAACCCAATGCATTCAAACAACCAACCTCCCCCTCCCGCTGTAAAATGTTATCTTCTAAACACTGTCAAAGTGAGGAGTTAAATACCCCTTACCCTCCTCAGAAAAACGTTGTTCCAGAGCTGTCCAAGAAGCTGTCAGTGAAAATGCCTTTTCCTTGGAAAATGAGAAGACAAAAAGAGAGGAAATGTAGTAAAAAAGAGAGAGAAAGATCAGAGGCCACTTGGTAATTCTCAGTGTGTGGTTTCCAGCATGACGCTTTGCTGTCACAGCGAGCAAAAGAGAACGGAGCCTGCGCTCGGGTGCTCTTTAAAGTGACCCCTCCTCTCCATGACTCGCTCCCTGCCTCTGCCCAGCCACGGGAGCTCATTTTCCCCAGACTGCCTGGCCTCTGGAAACCGGAGTGACAAGCCTGGACCCTCCAAATGCACAGGCACAAAGGAAGAAAGTGAGAGGAAAGTGAAGATGGTAGATCCACAGCAGATAATAATGGTCCCAGGTAAGTGTAGGGTGGACGCTGGGTTCCCCATCTCAAAGCTTGGTGCCTGGGCAAAAGCCAGTACGCTTGGGGAGAGGGACAGCTTTATATTGGACATAAGTGAGATATTATTTATGATGAGAGTGGTGAGACATCACAACAGGTTGCCCAGAGAAGCTGTGGCTGCCCCCTCCCTGGCAGTGTTCAAGGCCAGGCTGGTTGGGGCTTTGAGCAACCCGGTCTAGTGGAAGGTGTCCCTGCCCATGGCAGGGGGGTTGGAACTGGATGGTCTTTGAAGGTCCCTTCCAACCCAAACCATTCTGTGATTATATCATTCTACGATCTAAAATAACCATCAGGAAATGCCAAGGAAAAGCTGGCACTTTAATTCCACTTCTTAGGATTTTGGTCCTTAACTCCAGGCAAAGGGAAGGAGATGGGCTGATGGGGATTCACAGCCACGTCCTGTTTCTTGGAGTTAGGTCACTGCTTCCATAAAGACTCGCCTCTGCTTTCAAGGATACTGGCTCACATCCCCTGATGTATTTGCAGAGAGATGTGAACTTTGATTTTCTGGCTCACAAGAAGGTAACCTAACTTGTGGGTGATACCATAAACTGGAATAGTTTACCTCCATCTCTTGCCAGTCAACCTCAGGAAGAATATAAAACCAAACCTCCATATCCCAGGAGAATTTCATCCCATGGGAAAGATAAAAGGGATGAAAGTGACTGCATGGGAAGGGAAGGATATTGGAAGAAGGGGAAGTAAAAGAAAGGGAAGATTTTTTCTTGACTGTACTTTGTGTAAAGCTTCATCTGGTAGATTTTTTCGATTGCCTTCAGGCTCGAATGGGCTATTGCAACAACTGCTGCAAAAGAACACTTGTTGTTTTGAACAAAAGGGCATCGCTGTGCTAGTGGAGTTACAAAAACAAGATAAAAATTAAAAAACCAGAACAGGGAATCAGGTGAACAAACGTGTGAAATGGGAGTGAAGGAGAGGGACATAAAGCCAAGCCCTCACAACAGCAACAAGGTAACCAGATTTCCTTATGAAAAGTAGGGACACAGCTGTGAAAAATTAAGGCTAGAGCCTTATTTTAAGACATATTTAGGAACTTCTCCTTGCTACACTATGTATTTTTTTTCTCACATGTATATTCCTAATGCTTCAAATGTACAACTCAGTATAACATCAATTTAATATGTAGGATGACATCTATCATCATCTTAACACACCTCAATATATATTAATTTACCAGTTCAATCTAATTGTAAAATTCCTTACATGGACAATTATCCTTAATTTTTTGAAGCTCTGCGTTAACAGGATTAGCTGTAATGATTTTTATACAAAGAATATATTCCCTGCCTCATGAGTTTTAAGAACTTGTAAAAATTAGTTTTTGTAGATAGAACAAGCATATTTCTAAAACAACACTCCCAAACATATACATACTAGCGAACCTGAGTTACTCAGTGTTCCCTTTCCTAACAGCTCATGACCAGAGTTTTATCAATTTTTATGGTTTTAAGATGTCCTAAAAAGCCAACATTTTTCAGAGAAAAAATACTTTTTTTTCTTTTGTTATTTTCAGTTAGTTTTTTTTATTATAAAGGGGACACTTCTCTAGAATGAATACATTATCATGATCTGCAGAAAATAAAAGATTATTCTAATTTTCATACCATATCTTTAAAATCTACTAGCACACTGTAAAATTAAGTCTTATTCAGTCTCTACAAATGTGTTTTCAACATCCTTATATGATTCACTGTTGAAAAAATCATACAAATGACAATGGGGAAATACTTTGTGTATACTCAGCCAAATACTATGCATCCCCAAAGCCCATATCTAGTTCACTGTGACAAACAGTTATGAAAAATATCTTTAAATGCATTAATCTGGATGTATTGAGTAATCACACCAGTAATGCCTTTAGGAAGGCTGAAGTTCCTTATGCAGATTGGAGATAACTGTGAGAGTGTTTTGAATTCCAGTGGGAACTGCAGCCTTTTCAAGAAAGAGATGGAAAATAAATGTGTTTTCTTTTCAAGCTGCTGAATAAACATACAAACTATTACTGTTTAGGATCAAATGCACAGGCCTCGATTTCACAGAAGGTGGCTTTGAGACTGTGTTCAGCAAGACACTCAACCCCAGGTGGGTCACTCAGACTTCCCCCAAGAGGCAGACCTCCCCCAGTACTCGATCACTCCCAATTAATTTTCTAATTTTGCTCAGCCAAGCCTCTCACATCGATCCACCCCCTGAAACTCTCACCTAGCAATTCTTA